GAAATACTGTGTTTCCCGGCTCAACCATGCATCCGGATATACTCATGTGAACGTGGGCATGATAATCTTGGGTCACGTATACGCCCGTTCTTCTCGTCGTTCATTGCGGTAGTGATCATCGTGGTCGTGACGTCGTGCACGTTTCTGGTGCCGTCGTTCGTCGCGTCTTTGGTCCTCGCGGTGGTAGCATCGCTCGTTGTGCGCTCGCGATGCGTGCGTTCCGCTTGTGTGGTGTGACGCCAGCGATCGCCAGTCTTCCTCATGTTCGGTCCCCATGCTGCTCGACGCCGTGGTGGACCGTGCCTCGCGACTCCGTCGTGGTCGGTGCGTCATTCGCTCGAGCTGCCCGGCCAAATTTTGGACCATAATCTCGATCCTTCCAAATTTCTCATTGGTAACATGTTGGCTTTCTCCAACAGTTTTCAAACTTTTCTCCAACGCTTGGATTCTTTCACGGTTTGACATCATGATTTTTTTTTATGACTCTATGTAATATATCAAAGGACTAGTTGACACTTTTTTTTCTCTTTTTGGTTCGACTCAACTCAGGAAAAGAAGAAAAATTCGAACAAAACAAGAAAAATTCGGCCCCTCAACAAAAGGTAAAAACTGAAAAAATAAAAAGATAGATAGACAATAACCTTGATCGGACTCTTTAAATGAAAGCACCAATGATGAATGACTGAGGAATGATCGTGGTTATTGTCTATTCGGTTGTGAGTAATCGCACACTCAGGGGCTTCGACTACACATGATAGGTGTGACTAACAAACGCACTACGGCCTTCTCCTAGACACGTGTAACTTCAAGATGCTCTAATGGCCTTCTCTCCGACACTTGTATGTAAACACGCACTACGACCTTGCTTAAACACACGTTAGAACACCAAGTTCCCCTTTTCTATTCACTCATCAATTCCAAGACTTTTTAATACTGAAGAGGTACATGAGTATTTATAGATGCATAAATTAAATCTAAGCCTAATAAATCTAGATCTCCTAAATCTTGCAATAATAGAAATCCTAACACTAGAAAGCAATAAAATCCTCATTTTACTATAACTCAAAATACTTGACTTGCACTCCAATTTACTTGAAACTTAAGTCATACGCATAAACCTCCTAGCCGCCTCATTCGGACCGCCTCTTGCGCGCGCCGCCCATCAACTTTCTTAATCCTTCACGCGCGAGCACGCGCCTTGCCGCTGTTGCACGCGCGTGCCGTAGCGCGCGCCCCGTTTGTGCCGCCTTTACCTGCGCGTGCACCCTCCTCGCGTGCGTCGCCTAATCCTTCCCCGCTTAGGACTTTTGGGCGTTGGCCTTCCACGCGCGCGCTATCGCGCTCACCTACTGCTCTCGCGCCGATTGGCGCGTCCTCGCCCATCACGCGCTTGTCGCGCACGTCGCCTACCTCCATCTTGTTCGCACCATGTTTCTGCGCCCCGTGCATTACGCCCAGCACTCCTACTCCTAATCAGTCGCGATCATCGCCCGCGTCGCCCCACGCGTCGCGGCCCATGCTCAATGCGCGCTTGCGCCCCAACCAACACATGCACACCAGCCCTTCGCCCATTGGTGCGCATCAAAGGTCGATGCGCACCCTTCGCTCTCACTAGATTTGCCGGTGCAGTACCCCACTTCCGTATCACACGGGCTGCGTGGGCCTGGCATGCTTCTTAGGGCCAAATGACTTGGAACTTATTTCTATGTGTCCGGTTTGACCCCGGTTTGACTCTGGCTTGGTTTGGTCAATACGCGAAGTTATAAATCGATCCTTAGTCCGATTTAAACTGAACTTCTGACCGACTTAATCAAATTAAATTGAACGGGGCATTATATCACCTTTTAGGACAATATAATATGATGTCTTGAATGAGGAAAATAATAGAATAATAATAAATACTCCAAAATCAATTAATTTAGACAATAAGGCAAAAAAAAAAGAAAATTAATATGATAATAATAATAATAATAATGATAATAATAATAATATTCTCCAATAATTTATAATCAAACGGGGCGTTACAACCGATGTCGTCCAAGCACCATGATGCGGTATGGGTTGTACTGGTTCAACTAACGAAGTTGTTGGGGCATACAGTAAAGCAAATTTCATGTGAGCTTTTGGATTGTATTTATTCGATTTTCCATTTGACTGAAATAAATGTTTTCACATTGTTGTATTCTTTATGATTGCTTATATGCTAAATATCCAATTATCTTATATTGTAGACAATGTGGTGTGTTAGTAGTCACACAGATACATTGTCGGTCCCTTATAAGATATAAATGGTATTCACAAGTGAGATAGTTATGGACATGACTATCGGTGTAGGTTGTAGTATAAACTGGATGTAGCTTGTCTTGGTTGGTTTATACTAGTGCGCTACGTCGCATTGAATGGATCACAGTTGAGACGTGTTCTTCTGTTCTGACTATCATGAAGAACCTAGGTCTCGGTGACTCTACTAATTCTTAACCCTAATTGTGATATTTAGATATGTGGGATATTTGTTTGTTACTTTAATTTTCCATGGGTGAGAGCCATGTATTGGGTCAATATGCTCTGTATCTTTGGTAACAACATTATCTGCATAATATCTATTTATTGGCATTAGGGCACCGTGTCCTGGACATCCAGGTTGATGACGTCCCCTTAAGGAATTCATAAGCATTATCGTATAAACCCTGCAGGTGGATTTATTCCGTACGATAATAAGGTTGAGTGGTACTACTTAAGGAATAAAAGATATTAATCAATTAAAGCAGTCAGAAGCTTTAATAATTAATGGACGTGCGATATCTTAAACACGGGGAATTATATTGAGTCTAATAGAAGCCCGGATTCAGTTCTGGATAGGACGGGAGTGCAATATTAATTCTCTAGTGGAATGAATTAATATTTACAGGCCAAATTGTGTTATGGGCTGAACATAAGAATTTGGGCCTGTAGGGAGCCCAAAACCTATACCTTTTAAGAGATCCCTAGTCTGGCCCAAGGACTCTATAAAAGGAAGGATAAGCACACGTTCTAAAACCCTTAGAGATCAGTTCACGTCTTCAGCCACCACACCAACGTGGGAGAAGGAAGAAGGAAACGTGAGGGGTTCAGAGAAGAACAAAAGGCAATCCGCTCCTTTCAACCGTTTAGAGGATCGTCGTCCATCCGGCGTTCAAACATGGTCGGGACACAAACTAGAAGATCACTCAGATCGAATCGAAGCCTTGAAGAAAGGTATATCTTTGTTCGTCCTTTAAGAGCATGCTTAGGTTTATTCAAAATCATGTATGTACATGTTTGGTATCCGATATCAATTCGTGGGTAGGACCGCCTCATCGGCGTGTTCCAGCAATTGGTAGGATCGTCTCATCGGCCTAAAACATGTAGTTGATTTCGTTTATTCGTTTATTCGTTTTCAGTCATGTTCATGGTATGGATGAATGTTTATCTCGTTTATGATTCTAACTGGTGTCTATCGCATCCCTTGTTGTTTGTTGTAATCGTTTTCCCCACCAGATAATAAGTGTGGGTAGTATAGGCGATTTTGTAGACTGTAGTAGGGCTGTTGTT